CTCCAGTCTGGGCGACAGAGTGAGACTCCAACTCAAAAAAAGAAATAAATAAAAAATAAAACTCTTCCAAGAAGCCTGGCAGTTGCTGGTGAAAGCATCACACAAGTAGGGCAGGGGTTACTGCCTTGCCAAAGATGTCAGAACATGAGGTGATCAAGCCTCTGAATTCAGCTACTAATTTCTGTGACACAAGAACATGTTGACTTGTCCCCATGATTGTGCAATTAGCAAAATCCAGACTTTGAAGGAAGCTGGGAAACTGAAGAAGGTACCTGTGTGTGTGTGCATGTCTAACTATGGCAGAAGCAAGCAGGGGCTGTCCTGGTCATTCTTATTTCTCTCCCCATTTTGCTCCACGGCTGACACTTTCTCTGTGAGGCAGAAGGAGCAGGGGTTATTCTCTCCATATTGTGATTGGGAAAACCAAGGCCGGGTGTTTGGCCTGCCCAAGTCACCCTGGTCATATATGGCAGAGGCCGCACAGAGTCCAGGCCTCCTGCCTCCTGGCCCTGGCCCAGGAGGGAACAGGGCAGCTGGCTTACTCAAGGCTGCCCTCGCCCCTGCAGGAATCACTGAGATTCTGATGACCAGACCTCATGCCTGCAATGCCTTGGGGAACGTCTTGGTCGGCGAGGTAAGCAAGGGTGGGCCCTAGGATGGGCTGCGGAGGGGCTAGGAGGAATCTGATGGGGTTGTCCTCTGCAGCTGCTGGAAGCTCTGGCCTGGCTGAGAGAGGACCAGAAAGTGCGCGTCCTGCTCATCAGAAGTGGAGTGAAGGGTGTGTTCTGTGCAGGTGGGTTCCCTCCCCTGCCCCATTCTGGGGGCTCCACAGGTCTCCCACCAGCCTGCAAGGGCGGGGGGAAGCCTTGGATCTGCTCCAGTGGGACCATTATTCCCATTTTACGGATGTGAATTCAAAGTCTCTGCAAGGAAAAAGTCCTTCCTAGGGTTACCCAGCTAGTAAGAGGCAGAAGAGAATTCCATTTGAACTTAGCCTCTCTGGCCCCCTAGTTCTTTCTGTAATACTGTGCTTTGTTCTGACCCTCAGAAATGGGAAAACTGAGTCCAAAGACACAAGGTCAGTGCCATGATGGGACTCTCTGCCCCTTTTGCCCACTTGTAGGATTTCAATCCCTATCACCAGAGTTCTCCACTGTCCTGTCATTTGGTCCTTACAACAGCACAAGAACACAGACTTCTATTTCAAAGATGGCAGGAAAACGCACCCCAGGCCCACAGCGAGGAGCAAGCCAACAGTGAGCAGAGCTGAGCAGAGAACCTGAGCTGGGAACAGACTCTGAGAGGTGGCTGAAGAGGGGACAACAAGGGCCCCCAAGGAGGCAGAAGGGGGCTGTGGAGGGAGGGGACAAGAGGAGTCTGATGCTCAGGAGACTTCAAGGGGATGTGACTCAGCCCCTGGGTCTGAGCTGTTAGGATCAGGGCGCACAGCAGGGTACCCAGCCTGGGGACAAGACAAGTGTGCCAGCCAGTGTGCCTGGCCCAGTTGCCCTGGCTGAGGTCTTCACCCTGCCTGGCCTTTTCCTGTGGCTCCATCTCTGACCAAAGTTCAAGCTGAATGTCCACTCAGGTCACCTCATGCCTCTGATTAGCTCCAGTCCTCAGTCCCAGCAAAGCACAGAGAAGGAAAAGGCTGCATGAGGCCTGGGTCTGCTTCGGCGAGCTCTAGAATCCTGGGCTAGTTCCTGCCCCTCTCTGGGCCTCAGTTTCCCCATGTGTCACTGAGGACCTGGAACTGATGGAGGACTTCTGAGGCTCCCCCAGCTCTGACTTCCTGTGTGTAGGATATGAAGAATCTATGTTCACCCCTACTCACTGCCATCTGGACTTTGATGGCACTGCCATGGTCACTACTCTCACCAAGACTTGCCTACCTACCTCCATGTCACTGTATCCTGTGCTCATTTCTCAGTTCTCCTCTTACTTGACCCCCTGCCTGCTGTAAAAAGTTAGTCAGTTAATTACATTTTAAAAATTGTAGTGAAGCCGGGTGTGGTGGCACACGCCTATAGTCCCAGCTACTTGGGAGGCTGAGGCAGAAGGATCACCTGAGCCCAGGAGTTTGAGGTCGTGGTGAGCCATGATTGTGCCACTGCACTCCAGCATGGGCAACAGAGTGAGACTCAGACTAAAAAAAAAAAAATTGTAGTGAAATATAAAGAACCTGAAGTTTACAACTATAGCCATTTTTAAATGTAAAATTCAGAGTGGCATTAAGTACACTCACAATAGTCTGTGACCATGACCCCTATCCATGCCCCAAACTCCTCATTCCAAACACACTCAACCCACTAAATAAAACTCTCCACTACCCCTCCCTCCCAGCCGCTGGTAGCCTCTATTCCTCTCTTCTACTTCTTGTCTCTGTGAATTTGTCTATTCTTGATACTTCATATGGGTACAGTCATACACTATTTGTCTTTTTGTGTCTGTCCTATTTCACTTAACATGGAGTACATGTCAGACCTCCTTGCCTTTTTATGGCTGAATAAAAACAGCTTCCAGGCTGGGCACAGCGGCTCACGCCTATAATCTCAGCACTTTGGGAGGCTGAGGTAAGAGGATTGCCTGAGCCCACAGGTTCAAGCCAGCCTGGGCATCTCTACAATAAATCAAAAAATTAGCCGAGCATGGTGGCACATGCCTGTGGTTCCAGCTACTTGGAAGGCTGAGGCGGAAGGATCACCTAAGCCCAGGAGCTTGAAACTGCGGTGGCCGTGAGCAAGCGTGTCACCTGCACTCCAGCCTGGCCGACAGAGTGAGACTCTGACTCAAAACAAACAGAAAAAGAAAAAAACCGCTTCCATTGCATATATGCTGCATTTTGTTTACCCATTCATCTGTTGACAAATACTTGGGATGTTTTCTGCTTTGGTCACTGTGAGTAATGTCCCTAAGAATACCGGTGTGCGGCCCTCTGAATCTGCGGGTTCTGCATCTGCCATCAACGAGCCATGGATTGAAAATATTCAAAGTAAATAAGTAAAATAATACAATAAAAATGATACAAATAAAAAAAAAATATTGGGTTGGGCACAGTACCTCACACCTATAATCCCAGCACTCTGGGAGGCCAAGGCAGGAAGACCACTTGAGCCCAGGAGTTTTCTACAAAAAAAATAAAAAAGTCAGCTAGGCGTGGTGGCATGTGCTTGTAGTCCCAGCTACTTGGGAGGCTGAGGCAGGAGGATCACCTGGGCCCAGGGGGTTGGGGCTGCAGCAAGCCATGAGTGTTCCACTGCACTCCAGCCTGGGTGACAGAATGACCCTGTCTCAAAATAATAATATTGTACAACTATTTACATAACATTTACATTGTACAAAGTAGTCTAAGTAATCTAGAGATGATTTATGGAGGGGGGGGTGCAAAAAAAAAATCCGGAATTATCCTCTGGAGAGTGGGCCTCTTGTAGTACAGGCTTCACCCGCTAGTAAGTGTTATGGGAGTGCACCATCAGTGGACCAACTAGCGTTATGAGAGGCTGTTTGGCTTCAGTTAATTTTTTTTTTCTTGGAGGTTCCTTCAGACATGCTTGCCCATTTCATGATGGTGATTTATGAGCACACCTGCCCACACTGCACTGAGTGTTCAGCAGTTTTTGACCAAAAACGTGCCCCAACTTCCCTATTCACCTAATCTTGCCCCATGTGACTTTTATTTCCCTGGACCAAAAAAAAAAAAAAGTCCTCAAAGGGAAACGTTTTGCCAATGTGGAAGAGGTGAAACAAAAACAGTAAAAGCTTTGAAAGGCATCAAAACTAACAAGTTCTAAAGCTGTTTTGAGCAGGTCGGAAAAGCATCTCGATAGGTGTATTGCAGCAAATGAAGAGAACTTTGAAGGTGGCTGTCGTTTAAACATGTAAGGATTACACAATTTTTAATAAGTAGATTCTGGGTTTTGGATCCTCCTTTATAAAGCCAGGAGGATGTACACAGGTTATATGCAAATACTGCACCATTTTACGTAAGGGGCTTGAGCATCCACAAATTCTGGTATCTGTGGGGGGCCCTGGAAGCAATCTCGTGTGGACAAGGAGGGATGACTGTATCTGTTTGAGTCCCTGCCTTCACTCTTTGGGGTATATACTTAGGATTGGAATTGTAAGATAATTACATGTTTAACTAATTGAGGAACCACCGAACTGTTTTCCACAGCAGCTGTGGGGTTTTACATCCCACCAGCCGTGTACCAGGGTTCCCATTTCTTCGCATCCAGGCCAACCCTTTGTGTTTCCTGTTTGCTTTAAACAATAGCCATCCTAATGGATGTGACGTGGTCTCTCTTTGTGGATTGACTTGCTCTTTGATAACTGGTGATGCTGAACATCTTTTCATGTGCTTACTGACCATCTGTGTATCTTCTCTGGAGAAATGTCTATTCGAGTCTTTTGCCCTTTTTTGAATCGGGTTGTTTCTTGTTGAGATTTAGCAGTCCTTTATATAGTCTAGATATTAGCCTTTTATCAGATATGATTTACAAATATTTTCTTCCATTCTATGGGTTGTCTTTTCATCCCCTTGAAAGTGTCCTTGGAAATACAAGATTTTTTCCTTTTTTTGAGGCTTCTTTTTTTTTTAGTTTTTCACTCATGGTGTCTAATCTACCTTTGTGCTAATGCTTTTTGTACCTGTTTGACACTCTCTTTCCTCCTGGCCCTTGACTGGGTTTCCTGGAGTTTCTCCTTTTGCTCTAGCTGCTTCTTCTCAAGTCTTCTTTGTTGGATCCTGTAACCACCTGGGATTTTGTAATGAGCCGTTTTCCTGAAGGCTGGCACCAACCGCTTGCCATTTGCAGGTGCAGACCTGAAGGAGCGGGCGCAGATGAGCGAGGTGGAGGTGAGGGTCTTTGTCCAGCGACTCCGCGGTCTGATGAATGAGATAGGTGAGGGTCTGGGGGTGGGGTGGGAGAGGAAGTTTGGGGGCCCCTGCTGATGCCAGCCCCAGCCCTGCCATCTTCTAAGGACAGTACTCTTTCTGTTTTGAGCTCTATGGAAAGACAGATGACCCTGCCAGGGAACAGGCACAGGAATTCTACAAGGAGAGGGTGACAGGAGGGTTCAGAGTGCATTTCTCCCAGAGAGGGACCTCCGACTCTTCAGTCTGAATGCCCCGTGCCAGCCAGGCTGGAATGATCGCTGTTCCCTTTGCCTGGGACAGCTCTTCTCAGCTGCTTGAACTTTTACTCCTCCTTCAAGGCCTCCAAGACCTCCTCCTCCAGGAAGTTCTCCCAACCCGCCTTCCAAGTTTCCTTCATCATAACACTGATGATCCTGGGTCATCATTGCCTGGTTACACGCTTGCCTTCCACATGAGACTGAATTCCCATTCCCAGCACAGGGCTTGGCACACAGAAAGGCAGGTCCCAGGGAGGCCAGCAGGGGAGATGACCCAGTTCATCTCCCCATTCCCTTTCCTCAGCGGATCCCCTAACTGTCCCTGGTGGAGGAACTGGCTTCTAGGATAAGCTGGCTGGGTTACCAAGGAAGGCCCCCAAGCCTGACCCGTGAGGCCCTTTGCCAAGCCTGCCCCTCCCAGCTTTGAGTCTCTGTCACAGGCTGAGCCCTCGTTCATCCCCACAGCAGCCTTCCCTGCACCCACCATCGCGGCGATGGATGGGTTTGCCTTGGGTGGAGGCCTGGAGCTTGCCCTGGCGTGTGACCTCCGAGTGGCAGGTACTGGGGCAGGGGATGAAGTGGGGGGGTGAAGGGGGGAATGACGAGGCGAGGGAGGGTGGAACAGTAAGTCTGGGGGTTCTGCAAAGTCAGCCACTGCTCTTGGCTTCTAACCAAGAGCAGAAGTGAGGCAGGACAAGGGGACACAGGGAGCTCAGACCCGAGCTGCTTCCCCTCCTGGCCCAGCCACTGACAACTGTAGCACCTGTCCCATCTGTCAAAACCTGCTTTCCTCATTTCGAGAATATTCTCCCAGCCTCAGAGCAATTGCTGAGCCAAGAAGGACAAAGATCAATGTCCTTCCAGTTCTTTCCTAGTCAGATGTATTTATCATGCTTTGATCAAAGGTGAACCACAGGGACAGTTTGTCACTGGCTGAGCTAACCACAAAGGTGTCCAAGCAAAACATTGGTACCAGTCAAGGTTTGCATTATGTGCTCTGTGTGGGCACTTAAGCTTTGTTTCATGACTGGGAGGAAGGGATGAAGAAGATAACTGATCACTTCTTAAAGTGACTGACTAGGTTAGAAGTGCCCATCTTGGGTGCAGTTAGACAAACTCTGAGTGCCATCACGATGCCACTCTCTTCCCTCCACTGCTTTCTCTTGCCACCCCAGAAGCGACATTTAAAAATGTGTAACCTCGGCCGGGCTCGGTGGCTCAGCCTATAATCCTGCGCCTTGGGAGGCCGAGGTGAGTGAATTGCCTGAGCCTGTGGGTTCAAGACCCGCCCCACCTGGGCAACTTAGGCGAGACCTCATCTCTACAATAAAAATAAAAAAAAAATTAGCCGGGCGTGGTAGCACGTGCCTGTAATTCCAGCTACTTGGAAGGCTGAGGGGGAAGGATCGCCAGAGCCCAGCAGGTCGAGGCTGCGGTGGCCGGGAGCGGCCATTTCACTCCAGTCTGGGCGACCGAGGGAGACTCCAACTCAAAAAAAAAAAAAAAATGTGTAACCTCGGTGGCTCAGCCTGTAATCCCGCGCCTTGGGAGGCTGAGGTGAGTGAATTGCATGAGCCCGTGAGTTCGAGATCCGCCTGGGCAACTTGGTGAGACCTCATCTCTACAATAAATCAAAAAAATCAGCCGGGCGTGGTAGCACATGTCTGTAATTCCAGCTACTCGGAAGGCTGAGGCGGAAGGATCGCCGGAGCCCAGCAGGTCGGGACTGCGGTAGCCGGGAGCGGCCACTGCACTCCAGTCTGGGTGACAGAGTGAGACTCCAACTCAAAAAAAAAAAAAAAAAATTGTGTAACCTAGGCCAGGCACAATGATCACTGTAATCCCAGCATTCTGGGAGAATGAGGTGGGACAATCAGTTGAGCCCAGGAGTTTGAAACCAGCCTAGGCAATGTAGCAAGACCCTGTCTCTTCAAAAAAAAAATAAATAAAATTAGCCAGGCGTGATGGCATGCGCCTGTAATCCCAGCTACTCAGGAGGCTGAGGTGGGAGGATGGCCTGAGCTTAGGAGTTAAAGACTATGGTGAGTTGTGATGATGTCACTGCACTCCAGCCTGGGCAACAGCGATCCCCTGACTCAAAATCAAAAAACAAAACAAAAAATTAGCCAGGTATGGTGGCACATGCCTGTAGTCCCAGCTACTCAGGAGTCTGAAGCAGAAGGATGACTTGAGTCCAGGAGGTCGAGGCTGCAGTGAGTCATGATTGACCCACTGCACTCCAGCCTGGGTGACAGAGTGAGACCCCGACTCAAAAAAAAAAAAAAACTCCAGGCACAAAGGTAGCTTCTGTCTACACAGTGCAGGTGGATGAGACGGAGCTAACCAGATGGCCCAGCACCAAAACACCAGGTGGTCGTAAGCCCAATTCTCACCTGTCCATGTTGAGGGAATTGCTTGCAGGTTTCAGCGAGGACTAAAAGTGAATGTAAAATCCTCAGAAGCAGCGGGCTGTCTGTTCCCCTCCACCACATTGCACGGTGCATACGGCTTGCACTGAAACTCGGGAGAATGTGGATTGGAACAGTCGGGAGGGGAAATAGAAGGTTGGGAAGGACAACTGTGGTGGGGGCAGGCGTCCCTGACACTGTAGGCAGGCCAGAGCTAAGGGTGCAGGAGGCAGAGAATCCACAAAGAGGTACCAAGAGCCTCCTGGGAACCCCTCCTGGTTCCAAGCACCATGACCTCAGTACTTCTTTAGCAGCTCCCCACACAGCAGGAGAGTCATTATTCCCTTATTCCATCTTGGAGACTCAGGAACGTCGCTGGTGACACCCAACGCCCCCGAAGGGCATGGCGGAACGTGGGCCAGGGCCTCCTGACTTCCGGGCTAGGGCTCTTCCCAAGACAGAGCCAGGGAAGCGGTGGGAGGGGCGAGTGGGGGGGGTCAAGGCAGTTGGAGGGCGGGTGGGCTTCACTGCTCTGTTTAAACAGCTTCCTCGGCTGTCCTGGGACTGATCGAGACCTCTCGCGGGCTCCTCCCCGGGGCAGGTAACCTCACCTACCACACCGGCCCGGCTCTCCCTCGCCCGGTTCCCTACCCAGATCCTTCCCTCCACCCAGATTCCTCTTTTCCTCGTATGCCGGGCTCTGCCCGCCCATCCTCACTCCTGCTCCATCTCGGGCGCCTCCCCGGCTGGGCCCTCCCCAGATTGCCACCTCCCCTGCGGATTCACACCCTGGCCCTTCCATCCTGGCAGGAGGGACTCAGAGGCTGCCCCGCTGCCTGGGGGTGGCCCTGGCGAAGGAGCTCATCTTCACAGGCCGACGCCTGAGTGGAGCGCAGGCCCACGCGCTGGGGCTGGTGAATCACGCCGTGGCCCAGAACGAGGAGGGCGACGCAGCCTACCACCGCGCTCGGGCCCTGGCCCAGGAGATCCTGCCCCAGGTGTGGCGACATCCGGCACAGGAGGGCGGGGCCGTGCTGTGGGGGGCCCCGGGCCGCGGAGGGGACTCCCTGGGGCTGCACATTCATTCACGCAAAGACAGACACAAGAACAGAAAACGCTCTTTGGAGTTTCTCATCTGTTCAGCCAGCCACCCAGTAAACAAAACAAAATTGTAATTCTCAATTAAATGTAAATTTAGTTCCAAAAGGACTAGAATCAAATGGGTTTGAAACCCTCAGACTGCCGGGCACGGTGGCTCACGCCTGTAATCCCAACACCTTGGGAGGCAGAAGAGAGAGGACTGCCTGAGCCCAGGGGCTCAAGACCAGCCTGGGCAACATGACCAGACCTCATGTCTACAATAAATTTTTTTTAAAAAATAGCCGGGCGTGGTGGCCCGCACCTGAAGTTCCAGCTACTTGAAAGGCTGAAGCGGAAGGATCACCTGAGCCCAGCAGGTCGAAGCTGTGGTGGCACGCTCACGACCACTGCACTCCAGCCTGGGTGACAGTGAAACTCCGACTCAAAATAAAAGAAAGCCCTCGGACTAACACTGTCCAGTTGACCTTTATGAAATAATAGAACTCTTCTGTATTTTGCTGTCCAGTATGGCGCCAAATGAAGTTATTTACATAAAATAAATTTAGTTCCTCAGTCATGCTACCTACTTTTCAACAACAACAAAAAAAAACAAGCCGGGCTGGGTGGCTCAGCCTGTAATCCTATGCTTTGGGAGGCTGAGGTGAGTGGACTGCCTGAGCCCAAGGGTTCGAGACCCGCCTGGGC